ACCCCTGCCTGCATCCCCCCCCCCTCCCCAGCACCGTGTCCCTGCCCAGCCTCTGTGGTGGCCCAAGCCAGGGCAGAGGGAGCTGGGATAAGGGCCGGGCAGCACCTTGGTCAGGATCTGCTCCGTCCATTGAGATTTATCAGGAGCAGAATGACCCCCTGGGGCTTCAGCTGCTGCCCTGCCCAGACACAGCCCCTGCTCCCCTTTCCCTGCCAGGGAAATCCCTGCAAGTCCCAGCTCAGTCTCAGCCACCCAAGGTCACCCCGACCTTGAACCATCCCCGCTGGCAGGGGCAGCCAAATCCTGGCCTGGGGGCAGGAAGGGGGAGATGGATCCCAGGGCAGCAGAGCAGTGCTAATTCATCCTTTGATAAAGCCCAGCTAATTTCCCAAGGAGGCAGGAGAGGCAGAGGGGGCAGCCTGTGCTGCCAGAGCAGCAAATCTTCCAAACTCTGGGAGCTCTGGGGGGAACCAGGCTGATCCTGCAGCCCAGTGGCTGCTGCCAGGAAGGGGCAGCACAGCCCAGACACAGCCCTTGTGACAGGCAATGCTCCTCCTGCCCAGAGCCCACATGCATGGACCTCCTGTGCCATCCAAAGCAGAGGGTCTGCAGCCAAACACCCACCTGGCTTTGCTGCAGGCACCAGCAGGAAGGTAGGCAAAGCACAAATGAACCGAGTTCTCTCAGTTCTCAGCCTGCAGCCTTCCCCTGGGAAGGGCTCACCTGCAGGAGGGATGATTTGTGGGGGCTGTAGAACCTCCAGAAGGTCAGCAACCCCTCCTGAAAATGCCCCCCCCCCCGCTGCCCTGATGAATGCTGGGCAATGACCAGTGTCCCTTCTTCCCTTGCAAGGAGCCAAAATACTGGCATGTCCCATCCCCACGCTGGGAGCAGCCCCCAGCACTTCTAAGGAAAATCAGGAGTATTCCTCCCAGCAAGGCCAGGAAGTGACTGGTGCCTGTTCCTTGTCCAGGGCACCCGGGCTGCTGCTGCCTGGGGAAAGGAAGTCATGGCACAGGATCCAGCTGGGGCAGGAGGGTCAGGACTTCTCCTTGGTTGTAGCAAAAGGAAAGGGGGAGATGAAGAGGGATGGTGAGGGATGAGCAGGTGTACAGGGAGTCAGGAGAGAAAATGGATGGAGGATGGACACAGCATCCTGTGTCCCACCAGCCACAGAGATGGGGTCCAGCTTGCAGCAACCACAAACTCCAGGGCACAGAGGCATCCACAGGCCCCCTGGGAACACCCCAAACCAAAACCTTTGGGGTCTGCAGATGAAAGCAGCTCAAGCCTGGGCTGCAGCTCTGCCTGTGGGGACTCAATTCAGAGCTGGCAGTCAGCTTCCAGCAGACCCAGCGACTGCCCAGGGCTGAACCAGCCCTTCCTACTGCATTTCAAAACCAAAACCCAGGCTGGAGCTCACCAGGGAGGAGGAGGGGGATCTAACACCAGGGCAGGAGGGAGGAGCAGGCCCTCTGGGTTCAGGGATGCCCGGATGCAGCCGCCCATTAGCAAACGTCAACCATCAATTATTGATGCCTGCTGCTTTCTGGTCCCATTTTCCACTTACATAATTTATAGGCACCTCCCTGGGAAAGGATGCAAAAAAACCCCAAACAACACAGAAACAACAAACAACCCAAACCCCCCCCCCCACCTAAGAGCAAAGAGCCTTCAGAGCTGCCTGCAGCAGCACAGCTGGGAGAGAATGGGGCCATCCAGAGCCTCTCCTGGCACTGACCTGGGGCAAAAGCAGGAGATGGGGGGGGAAAAAAAATAATAATGAGAATATTTCTACCTGCAGGAAAGCTCCAGCAACTTGGAGGAAACTGAGAAATGGAACACGAGGTCTCTGCAATGGCCCCAGCTGTGGTTTGGGGGGTGCTGGGGGCTCCCATGGGATGGGCAGAGCAGGGGAGGATCACGCTGCCATCACTCAGGCTCTCTGCAGGGGGTTGGGGGCACCCTTGGGTGCTGCAGGCTCCCAGGGCACCCCATGCATGGCCCAGAGGCATCAGCTCCCTCTTTGCTGCCACTGGGCTCACGCTCCCTCCTCAGCAAGGTCCTCCAGACACCTCCCCATGAAACAAGAACCTGGAGTCGTGCTGGGCTCTGCCAAGGAGCCACCAGCACAGGAAAACCCAGAGGGGGCAGCAACAAGAGCCCCTTGGTGGGGGGAGGGCATGGGCAGGATGGTGACAGCCCTGCCACCGTGGTGATCCCGAGGGCATAGCCTGGTGGCAGGGGAGGGAAGCACCTTTCCAGCCACAGCCACCTCATTATCAGCTAATTATAGAGCCTTAACCAACGCCTGCCCCCGAGGAAGGAAAGCCCGGCAAGGACGGTCACACCACCGGGCTTTAATGAGATCTTAAACTTCCGAGGCCTGAGGAGCCTGCGGGAAGGGCTGAGCAGAGCTGCTGGAGAGGAGGAAGAAACCCAAATTGCCCCATGATCCTAGAAAAGCAGAGCGTGTCCTGCACGCCCTGCCCCGGCACGTGGGCTGTGTCTGGCACCACCAGCCCCTTTTCTCTGGGAGCAGCAGGGATGTCACCTTGTCCAGATGCCCCCAAAAAGACCCCGTGGGCACAGCCCCTGGTGTGAGCTGTGGCCATGCCCGTTGCTCTGGCACACATGGGTTGTCCCCTGCCCTGCTGGGGTCTGGGGATCGTCAGAGCCCGGGTGTTTCAGCAGGTCACAACCTGGCTCTGTAAAAGCAGCTAAAATAGAAAAGCTCATGTTTCAGCCCATTTGCACCCTCCCCGCAAGGGAACTGCTGGGATGTGCAGAGGCTGTGGTCACCCTGCTGGCTGTGGTCACTCTGCGGGCTGTGGTCACCCTGCGGGCTGTGGTCACTCTGCGGGCTGTTGTCACCCTGCTGGCTGTGGTCACTCTGCGGGCTGTGGTCACCCTGCGGGCTGTGGTCACCCTGCTGGC